ATTCTTGCTGCTTTTGGCCCCGTGTGATAAGGTCCTAAAAGGTGCTGCGAGGTCTCTCTGCTTTCCGCCTCAGGAGAAAGCCACAGCAAACTTCCTCTGAGGAAAAGCCCAGGATAGAGTCGCCCTAAGTCAGAAACAACTTGAAGGCACACAACAAGGGCAAACTCCTCCTCTGAAGAAATGATGCCAAGAAAAACCCCATGGCCTTCAGGTCTCCAGAACTTAGAAACCACTTGAAGGTTTTCTGTGAAAAGTTTCTTCTGTGTGTGTGCGTGTGGGGGGGGATTGCCCTTGCCTTCCCCTGAGGCTGAGAAAGTGTGACTTGCCCAAGTCACCCAGTGAGTTTCTATGGCCGACCCAGAGTTTGAACCCGGGTCTCCAGAGTCATTATACAGTCCAATGCTCAAACACTGTATCTCACATGTGTCTACATAGGTTATTTATCTTTTGTGTAGTTGTCTGTATGTATACACACCTATCCACAAAATTGTACACATGCACATGCGTTGTGTGTGTATTTTTGTGGATATGTGTTTGTACATACCCACAAAAATACACAGACATGTGTGTGTGGCTGTTGCAACCTTCATGGCTACACACACACACCCTGTGTAGAGACATGCATGAGAGCTAGTGTGGCATAGTGGTTTGAGTGCTGGACTGTGACTCTGGAGACCAGGGTTCAATTCCCATGAAATTCACTGGGTGATCGTGCACAAGTCACACTCTCTCAACCTCAGAGGAAGGCAATGGCAAACCTCCCCTGAGCAAACCTTGCCAAGAAAACCCTCATGATAGGGTTGCCATGAGTTGGAAACAACTTGAAGGCACACTATATACCCACACATACAGCCATGTGTGTGTGTATGTGTGTGTGTATGTGTATACACACACATATAAACACATAGATACACAGATACTGCATTCATTCATTCATTCATTGTGTTTGATTTCCCTTGGTCAGTTTGCCTGCTTCTTTTCTTTGGATGCCTAAACTCTGATTCTAAATGCTCCGCTGAAGTTTAAAGTCACTTTAAGCAATGTTAGTGATTTTAAAGCAATATTAGTGATTTGAAGAGAGAAGAAAAATTTCATTGGAATCCTTGCTTGGGGGCAGCACACATTATGTATACATTTGTGTGTGAGAGAAAGAGAGAGAGAGAGATGCTTCCATTTGGGAAGGAAAGCAATTGTTTTGTCAAATGGTTCCCTTGAGAAGAAAAGTGAGCCTTGAAGTAGAGCTGGTTTAGGAGGGAGAAGCCTGGGTTGAAAAAGAGGGAGGAAAAGTTGCTGTTGCAACCTTCAAAGTGTCACAAGAGCTAGAACTTGTTGCTGTTGCATGCCTTCAAGTCATTTCTGACTTATTGCAACCCTATCATGGGGATTTCTTGGCAAGATTTCTTAAGAGGGTTTTTTTTGACATTGCTATCCCCTGAGGCTGAGAGAATGTGACTTGTCCAAGGTCACTCAGTGGGTTTCCATGGCCAAGCTGGGATTTGAACCCTGGTCTACCAGAGACCTAGTCCAACGCCCAAACTGCTATGACATGTTGGTGTAGTGAACTACAGTATTTTACAATTGGGGACAATATTACCCATAATCCCTCAGCTGTCCAAAAAGGAACTTTTCAAAGCTGTGATAACACCTATTATGTACATTACAAGCACTGCTCATATAACCCCCTGGATCTTGCTGAACTGGAACAGCATTTCTCACCATTGACTATACTGGCTGGAGATGCTGGGAGTCGCAGCCCAACGACATCTGGAATTTCCATTGGTGATCTGCTCACTCAGCCACTCATAGATTGGGCCATGCTATACAAAACCAAAGGTCTATGAAGTCTAATGGACATTCCAATGAAATTTTTCTTCTCTCTTTAAATCACTAATATTGCTTTAAAATCACTAATACTGCTTATAATAATAATAATAGTAATAATTTTTATTTTTATTTAAAACATTGACGACAATAATATAAGGAGTCAGATTTACAAGTCAGGGA